AGGAGGAGGAGGTGGAGCAGGGAGGACGGAGGCGGTGGAGGACGCAGGAGGAAGAACGTGAGAAGGACCAAGAAGGGGGATGTTCGCCTGCGGACGCCCGCAGGTCTTGGCTGCACGAGGCCCGTGGGGGCGCAGGGCAGGCGGGCTGAATTGGCGCTCCCTGCCCGCGCTCACCCGACGCCCTCCTGGCGGGGATCGGCCAGGCGAGCACCTGTCAGGACGTGAACCCCTGCCCTCCCCCCCTCCCCTCTTTCCCTCCTCTCTCCTCCCCCTCCCTCCTCCTCTCTCCGCCTCACCCTCTTTCTCCTCTCCCTCCTCTCCGCTCCTCTCTCCGCCTCCTCCTCTGGTGCGCCTACGTAGGGTGCCCTGGCATTGCCGCGGGGCGCTCTGGGGAGACGGGAGCCCTAGCAACGTCCTGGGCCGAAGTCTCGCACAGTCTGCGGCTACCAGGAGTCCTGCCTTCCCGGGGTGGGTTTCCTCTTTCCCGCCTGGCCCCCTTGTCCCTCCCCGGGGACCCTGCCGTCCTCGCTCCGCCTGGGTGCTCGCGGGTATTCGCGAGCGTCCCATCGCGCGCGGCCGACGCTTCCGTCGGAGTTGCGCTCGCGGGGAGCAGGGCATGCATCGCCGTCAGAACATGTTGCGCTCCGCTTACTCTTCCCCTTCCTTTTCTACTTCCTGTCCCCTGTCCTCGTCTACATCCTGTTTCTCTTCCTCTCCGCCTCGCGCTTCTTTTTCATACGTATCTCTTTCTCTTTCTGCGTACGGTGTTGCTCACTACGTTGACCTTGTAGCTAGCAGCTAACCAATAAGCAGCAGCCACATATAGCAAGGCTCATGCACGCCGCAAGTATGCGCCATGCGCATGGCGTCATACATATAACACACCTGTTCGGATTTTGGGAAGCGTATGGTGTCTTGACTTTGGGAGATTGGGAATGGGTTTCGTGGGAATGGGGTGGGCTGGATGCGTAGTGTGTGAGTGTGAGGGAGGGATGTGAGGCGTCCCTTTGCTCATTAGCTGGGTCAAATCTGTTCTTGAGGACAATGCCACATTCTTCCAGGGCAGAGAGCTCATTCACCATTCAGGAGCGATGACGGGCACACGCGTGCAGCACACGCGGTACCCACGTTGCGCTTCCAGTTACTGTGTGACATTGCTCTTCGAGCTCTCAGCATTCCGAACCAACAAGGTTCATATGGACTTCGCTGGCGCTGCCCTCTTCGGTCCGTGTCGTCCTTTCAGAGTGCAAATTCAAGCTGAAAGTGAACATGTACTGGAGCCGGTCTTAGGATCTCGCACTCGGATTCCAACATCCTGCTGGCCACCACCTCCGTACCGTAGCCTTTCCGGCTCAAGCTGAGCCTCAAGGGCCATGGGTAGGGGGGCAGGCCCCCTTGAACTCGCACTGCGCCCAGGTGGGACACAGACACCATAGACCATAGATGTCGGGTCATGCAGTATGCGATCAGCCCCCCGCCACCGCCCGAGACAGGCCAGCGCACCTTGCAGCTGGATCGACTCGTGCGGACAGCCGGAATGCAGTCTCTCCCTGGACGAGTCCACGAGAGAGAAGCTGCTGCACGTGCAGCAGCTGCCCCCAGGTAACTGGTAACCCATGGGTCTCGCCCCTCGGGGAAGAAACAACAAAGGCAGGTTGTCCTGCGCACGTGGCCGCATCCGTCTGTCGGGGCTCGGGCTGCGAAGACAGCCGCGCTTCGCCCTCTCCTGGGGGGGGCCCGTGGCCGGATATGCGTCCTCCAGGGCCGCCGACGCCAAGACCATCGCGCTCCGTCCGTCGGGCCGCTGTCCCCTCCCGCGCGTGCGCGCTCCTCCCGAGGGACATGCTCGTCCATTGGCTGCTCTGGGCTCAGGCCTGAGCCAGAGCGGCAGCCCACGATGGCCGAGGCCCTGGCGGCTGCGGCGGGCCTCTGGCCCGAGCTCGCCCGCCCCTCCCACCCGTATTGTGTGTCGGAGGCGGCGCGAGACGCCTCCGCCGGACCCCAGCAACAGCCAAGGCGGCTCGCCGCGCCATCTCCTGGGCCGCCCTGTCAAGGCGCAGGCTCACGTTCGCACCGCGGCCAGGTCCCGGCAGCCTCGCCGACTGCTGCGGCCTGGTACGGTGGTGCGCAAAGGTCACGGGCGGAGGCGTCTGGCACCACGCTCACCGTTCGGCTGTGTCGCTCGTCCCCGGCCAGGAGTTATGCCAAACTCGTCATGCTAGGTGTGCGTTTCCGCAGTGGGTGTTTGATTTACGGCCTAGCCAGTTGCCGGCCAGAGGTGTACCTGCTAGTGGCCTGGGTAGCTGGCGGCCGTCCCCTCGACCTGGAGGGGCTGCCAATGTATGCAGCCAGTCGTCCCTGCTCTCGTAGTCCATTCCTCTATGCTCGTCCTCCCCTTCCTCCTTTTCGTGCTCTTGTGACGGCAGAGGGTCGACATTAAGCTATCAATTCAGGGTTGTAGCTTGCTGCGTGGGGCCCGGGCCAATGAAAACCCCAGCAGGCTGGGGTCCTCGCAAAAGAAGGCCATCGCAGGCGTGCGTTTGTGCCGCCTCCATCCAGAAGGATTCAATGGTCTGATTGCGCGTTGTGCTGTCCTCCATTGCTCCCCCTAGAAGACCTCAATGGTCTGATTGCGCGTTGTGCTGTCCTCCATTCCTCCCCTCCCGCCCAGGGCAGCCGCGTGGCTTCCCACTCCCAACTCCAAGGGGGACTCCGGGCCCGTGGGTTTTAGTCCCCGTCCACACCACCGCGCCGCCTGCCCAAACAGGAGGTGTGCGCGCCTCTCGCTGGCTCGCCCTGGCCCTCGCCGGAAGGCGCCCTCGCTCATCTTGTCGGCCAGGGGCGACGGGGACTAGCTCCCTCCCTCCGTCCCTCTTGAAGGCCCTCTCCCCTCTTGGAGGCTCTTCCTCCTTCTTCCCCCCTCTTGGGGGCCTCTTGGAGGACCTCTTCCCCCGTCGTCCTCCCTCCCTCTTGGAGGCCCTCTTCTCCTTTTGGCCCCGTTGCGCAGGTCGGGCCCGCCGGCCACGCGGAGGGCGTGGACCCGAGCGAGGCGGCCCGCCGCGCCCTGGGGGGTCCTGGCCCATCGCGCGTCGGTGCGCCACGCTGTCCACATCCGGGACGCGAAGGCGTCGAAATCCCGAGCTTTCCCGAGCCGTGGGCTGCTCTGTAGCTGCAGCACATGCGCCGTGTATGCGAGGAGGGAGGGAGATGGGATGGGGAGGGGGAGGGGGCGGGGAAGGGAGGAGAAGGAGGCGGCGGAGGAGGAGGAGGAGGAGGAGGAGGAGGAAAAGGAAGAGGGGAAAGGAGGAGGAGGAGGAGGAGGAGGAGGAGGAAAAGGAAGAGGGGGAGAGGAGGAGGAGGAGGAGGAGGAGGAGGGGAGGAGGAGGATGAGGAGGAGGAGGAGGAGGAGGAGGAGGAGGAGGAGGAGGAGGCGCAGGAGGAGGAGGAGGAGGAGGAGGGAGGAGGAGGAGGGAAAAGGAGAAAAGGAGGAGAAAGCGGAGGAGGAGGAGGAGGCGTAGAAGGGGGATGATGATGATGATGATGATGACGATGAGGAGGAGGAGGAGGAGGAGGAGGAGGGAAGGAGGAGGATAAGGAGAAGGAGGAGGCGGAGGAGGAGGAGGGAGGAGGAGGAGGCGGAGGAGGAGGAGGAGGAGGAGGAGGGAGGAGGAGGGAGGGGAGGAGGAGGAGGAGGGAGGAGGATGAGGAGGAGAAGTCGGAGGAAGAGGAGGGAAGAGGAGGAGGAGGAGGGGGGGAAGGAGGAGGAAGAGAAGGAGGAGGAGAGAGGAGGAGGAAAGAGAAGGAGGAGGATCAGGCGGAGGAGGAGGAGGTGGCGGAGAATGAGGAGGTGGCGGAGGAGGAGGAGGCGGAGAAGGAGGAGGAGGATGGGGGATGTGTAGGAGGAGGAGGAGGCGGAGGAGGAGGAAAAGGAGGAGGAGGAGGAGGTGGAGGAGGAGGAAGAGGAACAGGAGGAAGAGAAGGAGGAGGAGGAGGAGGAAGAGGAGGAGGATGAGGAGGATAAGGCGGAGGAGGGGAAGGAGAAGTATGAGAAGGACCAGTGGAAACCCAATAATCATCAACGATGTGGGAATTTCATCTCCCTCCAAGCTCTCTCTTCATAGGCCCCATACAACGGTTCATTTTCATTGAGGGAACTGGCTCGTTGGAAGACAACAGTTTGAAGAACCTGAAGCGTGCCAACACATTGTTCTCGGGACTTCAACACCACATGTCAACCTGATTTCTGCGTCTTGACGATCCAGAACCGTGCCAGAACGCCATTTTTTGAAATTTCAACACAGCGAATCAACATAATTGCTGCGCCCGCATAATCCTGAATCCTTCCAAAACACCATTTCTGGTACGCTGATCATGGGAATCCGTGAATGTGCGCGGCGCTAAGGCGAGAACCACATGTTGAAAGCCGCCCCTCAATCCGTGAAGCTCTTGCAGCTTTCTAAAACGAATGTGCGCGGCGCTAAGGCGAGAACCACATTTTGAAAACCACCCGCCCTCAACCCGTGAAGCTCACGCAATTAAAAAAGAATGTGCGCGGCGCTAAGGCGGGAGCCACATTTTGAAAACAACCCGCCCTCAACCCGTGAAGCTCTTGCAAATGTTTAAAATGAATGCGCTCGGCGTTCAGGCGAGAACCGCATTTTCAAAATGACCCGCCCTCAATTCGTGAAGTTCTTGCATTTTTGTTAAGCGGATGTGCGCGGGGCTATGGCGAGAGCCACATTTTGAAAACCACCCGCCCTCAATCCGTGAAGCTCGTGCAAATGTTTACAACGAATGTGCGCGGCGCTAAGGCGAGAGCCACATTTTGAAAAGGAACCGCCCTCAATCCGTGAAGCTCTTGCATTTTTTTGAAAACCGCCCGCCCTCCATCTGTGAAGCTGTTGTCACTTTTTAACCTTCAGGGTGATACATGGCGCGGAAGTCTCAGGAGAAACGCCCGGCCCGCCCTAAAAACGTGCCTCGGGGTGCGAAAGGGTGGA